AGGAAATCTTGCACCACTTTCAAGGGTGCAAAACATTCTCTCCCCTCTCCCCCTTTTTAACATTGCGGTGAAAAGCAGATTTTCAAGATTAGGCCCAATGACATAAATCTTGCACCGCTTCCATCGTGACAAGAGCCAATGTTAAAAAGGGGGTGCGGGGTTGGCGTCAGACTCGTTTTGGAGTAGATCAAGTCGGCGGTGCAAGTTTTCCTCCATCCACCGACTGAAATCCCTTGCCACAGGCCGGCCATGCAAAAGCGGTGCAAGATTTCCTCCATCCACAGTCCCCAGCATGGGCTTTAACAAGGCTTCAGATTGCACGTTGCCGGCCAACATGTGCTTGCCTGGGGCTTCAAAGTACTTCTAGTGGCGACACATCGGGGTCGAGTTCTGTGATGAGTAGAGATGCTTCGGCGCTGTGCTTGTTAAATTGGTGTGTGAGCAAGAGTCGCAAGGTTCATTTAGTTGGGCTGCGTGACGGTGCGTCGACAACACGCCATCTGCAGATCCGCATTGAGCCTTTGAGGATGACCAGGTCAGCAAACACACGCTGGGCATTCAGGTATCGCGTGACCTGCAAAGGAGATCTGAGTCAAAGCAATCGCTACATGTGTAGCGTTGACTGCATTTTCACAGTCAACGTTCAGTCAACGTTCAGTCAACGTTACAGTCAACGTTACAGTCAACGTTGCGGAAATGCTGGCGGGGCCAGCAAATCCGTGTTTTTCACTATAAAACCCAAAAAAAACTTGATTTTTTGGCTTTTAAGCTTGGAAGCCATGGAATTGCTGGCAGGTGTAGCATTTCGGCAACGTTGACTGTAACGTTGACTGTAACGTTGACTGTAACGTTGACTGAACGTTGACTGAACGTTGACTGTGAAAACACAGTCAACGCTACCAGAAGCCTGACATTAGTTTGAGGGCTTTGAGTCGGATCCACGCGATACACCTGACACGGAGAAGATTTGCATGGCCTCCGCCAGCATGACATGCAGAAATCGACTTGCGCGGCCCCTCCGCAAGCATGACAGGCAGAAGTCGCGAAGTACATATATAGCTGACAGCAGTAAGGTGCGACTCACGTCAGTGGCTCTGCAGTTGTGTCAGCTCTCAAAAAACCTCCTCAGTTGAGTCGGTGGATGGAGGAAATCTTGCACCGCCTGTGACCTTGTTGCTAGAGGCTGCGCCTACTTCTGGAGACTGTGGATGGAGGAAATCTTGCACCACTTTCAAGGGTGCAAAACATTCTCTCCCCTCTCCCCCCTTTTTAACATTGCGGTGAAAAGCAGATTTTCAGGATTAGGCCCAATGACATAAATCTTGCACCGCTTCCATCGTGACAAGAGCCAATGTTAAAAAGGGGGTGCGGGGTTGGCGTCAGACTCGTTTTGGAGTAGATCAAGTCGGCGGTGCAAGATTTCCTCCATCCACCGACTGAAATCCCTTGCCACAGGCCGGCCATGCAAAAGCGGTGCAAGATTTCCTCCATCCACAGTAGTCTTAGGGTTTCTCCAACATGCGGGTCCCTTCTTTGGGATCCTGGCGGGGAGCCAACACGGGACCTTGAGCGAAATGCTATCCACGTGGGGTGGGCATTCCTTTTGATAAGAGTATAGTAGTAGAAGAATGGACATATATGAACTTGTGTAGAATGATACGGGCTTTACTGCCAAGTTTTACTCGAACACTGAAACCTAAACCCTAGTCCTTCATAGCTCCCCAATGTACCTGCCACAAATTAGGTGATCCCATTCCCTCTTCGTTGCCTACGGCCCTTAAGCCCTACACCCTTGCTCCCCGGAAATCAATTCCAACTTACATCCCCTCGAGCTCATCTTACTGTTGGTTAGTAGGGGATGAGGGAATGAGGTACCCCATATCCCACTATATATATATATATACCCTTTAAGGGACCATATAGGGTACCTCATTCCCCCATTCCCTACGAACCAACAGTAAGTCATTCGAGAATCTGCGTTGGGCTCCACAGGTGGATGATGCGCCCGTAAGCCTGCCAGCAGCGGGTTTAGGGTTTTGGGTTTAGGTTTAGGGTTTAGGGTTTGGGGTTTAGGGTTTAGGGTTTAGGGTTTAGGGTTCAGGGTTCAGGGTTCAGGGTTTGGGGTTTAGGGTTTAGGTGCTCGAGTTAGAAGAGTTCATGGAAGATTCTAAAGTTCTGTCTCTACAATTTTCCAAGTACTAGTATGTTATTCTGCTGACTCGTATCAATTTTTTTGTTGGAGTACCATAATTTGTTGCATTCCTTTTTCTTGAAGTCTTGTATTGTTCAATTCTTACACTCGTAAATATTCTGATATTCGTATTTTGAATATGAGTGGATCATACTAGTATACTATTCTATTTAATACTATTGTACTATTAAAGTGCAATATTGTTTTTGTATATTATGATATTGCTATACTGATGGTATAGTGTTTAGGGTTTAGGGTGGCTGAGCTTTTGGCTTTCACAGTTTCTCTATACCATCTGCAGGGCTGCGGGATAGTGCCCACCGATTTGCGGCACGCAGGGAATCTCAAGCAGGTTTCCCAGGGTTTCCTACACCTGAACCCGAAACCCAGAGCCGTAAACCCCAAGCTCTTAACCTGAAACCCCTAACCCTACTGCCTTCGCCCGTCGCATAGCTCAACGATGCTCAACGAACATCGTTGACATAAGCCTAAACCCGAAACCTGAGCCTCGAACCCTAAATCCACGGTTTGGGGTTTCTTAACTTGCTTGGATGCCTGGCTTGCTAGGCTTTCTGTGGATCCTTCTAAAGAGATTTAGGGTTTAGGGTTCGGGGTAAGGGTGAGTCGTACGTAGTATGGAATAGGGGGACAAAGGAACATAGGTGGAATGATGTCTTGCAGTCGGTCTGGGGAGGCCGTGAGATAATTGTATCATGGTATACTGGTACACTAACAGTAATAGTATCATAAAATAGTAGAATGGTATTATTGTAGAATTGCAGAATGGTGTAAATAGTGCGATTGCGTGATAGTGTAATAGTGTAATAGTGTGATAGTGTAATAGTGTAATAGTGTAATAGTGTAATAGTGTAATCGTGTAATAGTAGTGTAATAGTGTAATAATGTAATAGTGTAAGAATGTATGAGTGTAATAGTGGAATAGTGTAATCGTGTAATAGTAGTGTAATAGTGTGATAATGTAATAGTGTAAGAATGTATGAGTGTAATAGTGGAATAGTGTCATCATGTAATAATGAATGTGTAATGGTGTATAAGTGAATTAACATCATATTGCAACAGTGCAGTAATGGGATAGTGCAATGGTGTGGTAGTGTAGCAGTGCAATAGTGCCATAGTAGTATACCTTGGCATAAAAATATAAGAACACATATGTAGCAATTACAAATTCAATCATGCAAGCATATGGGTGTTTCCCAAAATAGGGGTACCCCTTGTATACCCCAAATGGAAGAGAATCCCCTTAAATGGGACCTATTTTCGGAAACCCCCATATTCTAACACATAATACGGCCCTAAACCCTAAACTCCCTAAACTCCCTAAACTCCCTAAACTCCCTAAACTCCCTAAACTCCCTAAACTCCCTAAACTCCCTAAACTCCCTAAACCCTAAACCCTAAACCCTGAACCCTGAACCCTAAACTCCCTCCAGGCCTGGAGGTCTCCAGTCCACGCCTCCAGAGCCAGCAACACCAGCCAGGCAATCGCCGTGCGCAGCACGTACAACGAGGCCAGCAGGACCTCGAGGGAGCTTTCGGGGGTTTTGGGGGGGGGTTTTCAGGGATTTTGGGGGTTTTGAGGGGTTCTATATAGGGGGTTTGAGGAGTTTGGGGGGTTTTGGGAGTTTTTGGGGGTTTTGAGGGGTTGTAGAGTTTTAGAGTTTTAGGGTTGTAGGGTGTTAGGGTTTCAGGGGTTTAGCGCTTTGGGGCTTGAAGGTTTACATGAAGGTCGATGGGCATTATAAGTAGATCTAGAAGTCTAGAAGTATGGCAACTATACTTATGACGCGTACATATAACCCTACTTAGAACTACCCATGCACTTCCAAGTGGAAAGACTGGAGTCTATAGGATTAAGGCTTGAAGACGTATCAGGAGGTTGAAGTTGGAGGTAGCCTTTTCGGGTTCCAAGGTTTTGGGCCTGCTGAGCGTTGCTTGTTTTGTTGTAGGGCTTGGGTGTTAAAAGTTGAGGATTGACGGTGGATGATGCTTTTGGGGCTAGAGAGCATTGCTTATCCATCCGATTCGCCGTACAGAGTTTAGGGACTGTATGCTTCTAATCCAAGTCACAAGAAGCTGTCCAACACTCCTCCTCCGCATCCATCTCAAAAAAAACGGGGACACCTTGACTGCAACTCCCTTATTCTGCAGCTGCACGTGTTCACAATGGCCGTAACTCTCAGATCTTGTTCAGATGTCTCCACTCCCCTCCGAGAGGAAAGGCTGCTGACTATGGGCAGACATATTGACCCGATATAGGGTAGTTAACAGCTGGAGGCGGCAGAGGTTCGGGCTGTTCTAAACATAGCCCAGCAGCATAGTGGTACGTCAACAGCGTCGACAGGAACCAGAGTGGGCGGTTCATGGTCCACCACGAGAGCAGCCTCGGAAAGGCAAGTCTCAAGCTTGAAAATCTTCAGCCGTCCATCGAGATGTCTTAGATTTGGGAAACCCTGACATCCAACTCCACACCAAGTATATGCATATAGCTTGTTACGCCCACACACACACACACAAAAAACAAAAAAAACAGGGGCAAACGTGAGGATTCAGGAACAAGCTGCGGGTTCCAGCCGCCGATGGTCAGAATCTCGAGGCCATACTGCACCACGCACCGCCAGCTCGTGCACTGCAAGGCCAATGGCAGGGCTGTGAAGAAGACTGCCACAATGTACCTGAGCATATCACAAGACCTTGCCGCATACCGCGTCTTAGGGTTCAGGGTTTAGTGTTTAGGATTTAGGGCACCGACATCAGCCAACCAGTGCCACTACCAGCAGCTTGAACCACGGGGCGGCGGGATGAGGCGCGCCACCTTCTTGCGCATGTGGTCCCCCCAGCTGGCATCCTTCCACGTGGCTGAGGACAGCCAGCCAGAGATGAGCATCATTCCCATCATCAGTTCCACACCATGGTCCACAGTCCTGAAATTTTAGGGTTTAGGGTTTAGGGTTTAGGGTTTAGGGTTGAGGGTTGAGGGTTGAGGGTTGAGGGGTTAGGGTTTAGGGTTTAGGGTTAGGGTTTAGGGTTTAGGGTTTAGGGATACAAGACGAGCAACCCTAAACCTTAGCTCTGTTAACCCTGACAGCCCTAAGCAGGAAGCAGCAAGAGTTGCCTGTTCACTGGGATGTCCTGCGCCAGGCACGCAGTTTAGGGTTTGGGGTTTCGGGTTTCGGGTTTAGAGTTTAGGGTTTAGGGCTGAAGGTTGCAGGTTTCACGATGGCTTAGGAAAATGGCACCTCGGCAGAGGAAGGGTCTAGGGCTTTGAAGCTCAGGGTTTACTACAGGGTTTAGGGCTGAGGGTTTAGGGCTTAGGGTTTAGGGTTTAGGGTTTAGGGTTTAGGGTTTAGGGATGCAACCCAAGCTCTGGTACGGCACGTAGTGGGACAACTGCACGCGATGGTTCGGGGCATTCAGCAGCTGCTGGTGGAAGCCAACCAAACCCAGGATGTAGAATGCCTCAACTTGCCACGGTTTAGCGTTTTAGGGTTTAGGGTTTAGGGTTTTAGGGCTTAGGGTTTTAGGGCTTAGGGCTTAGGGCTTAGGGCTTAGGGCTTCGGGCTTAGGGTTTAGCCACACATGCGTTAGATTTGCTGGCATCAACTGTACAACTCTGCCATACAAGATCTACTGCTCTTTGCAACGCAACCCCTAAACCATAAACCCTTAAACCTCAAGGCCCTAAAGCCCTAAAGCCCTGAAGCCCTAAAGCCTTGAAGCCCTAAAGCCCTAAAGCCCTACAGCCCTAAGGCCCTAAAGCCCGAAAGCCCCAAAGCCCCAAAGCCCTACAGCCCTGAACCCCAAAGCCTTCACATCTGCGGAAAGTTAGTCCCGCCTTCACACGGTCAAAAGTCACCACGGCCTTGGAGCCTTCCGGCCGGAATGCAGCGAGCGTGCGGCCCTCCATGTCCGAATCGGCAGAAAGCAGACTCTCTGCTGGTTCCTAAACGGGGTCTTGCGGGCTACCTGAGCAAAAACAAGTAGCTGCAGCGAAAGTCGCCGTAAAGCAAGAGATGACAGATTCAACCATGAGCCACTTCGGCGTTTTGACGTTTCCAAACCAACACTTCCACAATGGCAACGGAATCTGCACCGCCTGAGGAATCGGAAACATTGAGTCCACATTGTCGCTGGGAGATCTGGAATCGGTTGGGACTCATGCGTGCGTATCCCTAAGCCCTAAACCCTAAACCCTAAACATCCCTAAACCCTAAACCCTCATGCGACTTGTTAATCCACCCAGCACCGAATGTGTCGGTCTCAACGACTGGCATTCCTAGCTACAGCGGAAAATGATTCGCAGCTGCCAGGTTGAAAAGCAGACAAGTTCTCCTAGTTGTCCAGTAACCTGGGGAATTAAAGGTTAACCTTTAGGAATATAAGGGGATTATACTACACCAAAAAGGTTAAAGGTTACCTACTCTACTACTAGGTTCTAGAGCTTTGCAGGCTCGGTAGGGTTAGGGAACATCCGCCTTAAACACTACCAATTCATTGAGGAGATCATGTTCAAGATTCCCAAAACTCAGCAGTTGCCCCAAATGGCGCTTGGTGACATCATCTTGCATTGCCTGGTAATCTGGCTGCTGCGCTTATCACTACGTGCAGGCCCAACTTCTTGCGAGCTCCCAGGGCATTCAAGCTTGTGATACTTGTGGGATTCAGAGGATGGGAAGAAAGGAGGCGCAAGTGCTACGGTGTAAATCATGTAAATCATCCTGCCGTTCTCGTGAGGCATCCATTATGGCCCACACGTAGTGATGGCTCAGCCTTCTTTCGGCTGGGGACAGTGCCCTTTGGGCACTCCCAAATCGGGATGAAGCACATCAACGTATGGCTTCGGGTAACCATGTCAAAAAGGCGAAGGCCTAGTCCACCACACTATCCGACTCACCCATAGGCTTGGGACATGTTGGCAAGGAAGGCCTCCACGTCAAACCATCCTTCCTTAAACCAACCACTGTGGCTGGATGGAACGTCTTGGCATCTTGAACAAAACTCTGGAGACTTGAGCTCGGCAACGTCGGTTTCCAGTCATCCTTTGCAAACATTAACAGCGGCTCCGTCGCAACTTCCCTGCCGGGGGCCGAGCTTCTGCACCAGTTCCAGTAGTGACCCTCGTGGTTATGCTGCCAGTTGGACAATCTTTGGGACAAGGAAGGATTCCAATCAGGAGGATTTGACAATACCTCTCAAGCGCGTCAACGTCCAGGTGCCGCTTGAGACGCTCAGGAACATCGTCCAAGCGGTTGTACCCTTCTGGGCCCCGGCATTCGGCCCTCGCAAGGCCCAGGAGAAGTAACTGCCCACTTTCAGCAGACTGCTCAGCAAACCTCGCGTTCAGCTCGGAAGGCGCAGCATTGAAACCAGCTGCAGTCACAGCGATGTCTCTAAGAGTCCGCCCTCCTGCAGAGAAATCCATGCTCACGCGATCAGTGCTGGCACCGCGATATTTGAAGCTCACTGTCTCCGGACGCTGGAGTTTCAACACCACCACCGAAGCTAGATGCTTCTTGGGATGCACGAACCAAACGTCCTTCCCAGTGATTCACCAGCACTTTTGCATCTGCTTTGAAAGGTCACAGGTTAGCGATCGCACTGAAATGCGAGTGCTGTACAAAGTCGCACCGAAGGGCGCGGGTCGGGAGGGCGGGAGAAGCTTGAGCAGCAGTGCACGTTTCGGCTCATCACTATAGTCAGTGATTCACCAGCACTTTTGCATCTGCTTTGAAAGGTCACAGGTTAGCGATCGCACTGAAATGCGAGTGCTGTACAAAGTCGCACCACACCCGTGCCTTGTAGCGTATCTTCACCATCAGTCGAAGCTTCTCCATTAGTCGAAACGTCACCCCGCCTCTCATGGCATGACCACGCCTTGACGGAGCAAGGAGTGCCAATGGCACGGTGAAAGTTTGTAGGCAGAAAACTTGGCCGCGGCGTCAAGGCAGCTGTTCAAGCTATTTGCCCAAAGATAGATGTGCTCTTTGATGTCAGAAGGCAACCTCGGCAGGTACATCAACGCACTTATTTCCTGCACGTAGATCTCCATGACCCGGTTGGAGATCCAACGTCCTCGCCTTCTGACTAGGTCTGGTGATTCTGTCACCTGCATCATCCAGGTAGCCCCGCCAGCACGAAGCGAACCTAGATCGAAGTCCTTCACGCCTGGCACCAAACTTCGAGTCAACTTCAGGGCCGTCAAAAGCTTGTCGAAACGAGCTCGCATGGTTGATGGCGACATTAACCAAAGTTTTTCTTCTGGCCCCAGACCTCCGAAAGCAAGGCATATCATTCGCACAAGTTGCGGCTGGTCCACTTTTAGGCATTGATGCCTGGCAGCTCGAAACCTAGTTTTTGGTTCCATCACGGACAGGTAGACGGCCTTCCCATCGTCTCCAGCGTCCTCTGGAAGGACCAAATGTTTTCGCTTTGCTGCGAGCACCTCACCTATCCTCGCTAAACCTCCCCAGGCCAAAGCAATCACCCCTGCGACGCGGGTCCAGCCCCATGTGATCGCCACTGACAACACCGCTGCAAGCACCTGCCACGGGAGCGCGGAGTGATGAGTGGGAGGCTCTTCCCTTTGCCAAGCCAGTGCAAGATCCCATGCCTGCTGCAGCGATCGCCGGACTATTGGGAACTCTGAGGAGACCATGTTTATAGTCTCGGAGAACCAATAATACGGCCAACCATCCTCATAGAGCCATCTGCCGTATCTTGCCAAAGCTTCATTCAGTCTGCCAACGTTGCTCTGAGCCCAACGGCCCACATCGTCCCAACAACAGCCTTCCTCTGCAAGCCAGTCGATCCAGCTGGCCTTCAGCTTGCTCCTCCTGTCACGGGTGAGGGCCTGAACAGGACGTCCATCCAGTAGAGGGGCCTTTGCCCGGGCCTTTCTTCGGTCAGCCTGAGTGATACTCTTTGCAGCGTCCATGGCGGCAACGGGAACTAGTTCTACCAGACCAAGACAGACGACAGACCACCAAGACACAAGACAGAGAGGAAAACAAGCCCTGAAGAAACCCTGAACAAGAACCCGAAGCAAAGCTTGAGGCTCGGAGCACAGAGGCACACAAGGCGCGACGATTGGATGAAGATGGAAAGAGGAGCGGGAACTGGGGCCCTGAACCAGGGAGTTGCAGCCCAGACCCGCGGCAGACCGCAATGCTGAGGATGTGAAAGAGCTTGGCGCAGGAAGCCGACGCAAGGCAAAGGTGGAACGAGCACTGGGACCCTGAACCAGGGAGTTGCAGCCCAGGCCAGAACGAGAATGCCACATGCTGAAAGTGCAGGAACACGGGGCAAAAGGCCAAGACACGTGGTTGAAGCTGGAAGGCTGGAGCGCAGGGATGGATCGAGTGCTGGGGCCCTGAACCAGGGAGTTGCAGCCCAGACCCGCGGCAGAGCACAATGCTGAGGATGTGAAAGAGCTTGGTGCAGGAGGCCGACGCAAGGCAAAGGTGGAACGAGCACTGGGACCCTGAACCAGGGAGTTGCAGCCCAGGCCAGAACGAGAATGCCACATGCTGAAAGTGCAGGAACACGGGGCAAAAGGCCAAGACACGTGGTTGAAGCTGGAAGGCTGGAGCGCAGGGATGGATCGAGTGCTGGGGCCCTGAACCAGGGAGTTGCAGCCCAGACCCGCGGCAGAGCACAATGCTGAGGATGTGAAAGAGCTTGGTGCAGGAGGCCGACGCAAGGCAAAGGTGGAACGAGCACTGGGACCCTGAACCAGGGAGTTGCAGCCCAGGCCAGAACGAGAATGCCACATGCTGAAAGTGTAGGAACACGGGGCAAAAGGCCAAGACACGTGGTTGAAGCTGGAAGGCTGGAGCGCATGGATGGATCGAGTGCTGGGGCCCTGAACCAGGGAGTTGCAGCCCAGACCCGGACGCGCGCGCGACACACGATCATAGGTGGCGGAGAGCTGGCGCGCAAACATGGCTTGGGAACTGGGACCCTGAACCAGGGAGTTGCAGCCCAGAACCGAGTGAGCATGTGTCGCACAGCCCAGACTGAGGAAGAGATGCGAAGCAACGAGACCGAAGGGCCAAGAAATACGACATCCAGACCAACAACCTTGAAGGGAAGCCGGCCCCTCGCCAGGAAAACCCAAAGAGGCGTCGAAGTCACGGAGGGACCCATACGTGTGGGGTGAACGGCCTGCGTCCCTGACGCAGTCAAGGCTCCACGGACCCAACACAAGAGAAGGAGCCAGCAGGCCCGTCAGCCGACACCAGTTGGCGGCCCATCGTCTGAGTCTGGGCCTCTCGGCATCCCTAAGTATGGCCTCCTCGCTCCAACGCTCAATGCCGAAGCCTTTTATCTGAGGAGGCATTGGTGCATCACGCGTGGGATGGTCAGCCGGCATCGCCCTGGTCGGACAGTACATGTTGCCTGGATACAAACCTGCTGCCAAGCACACCGTGCCTGACCGCCTAGTTACATGTCTTAAGCCGGGGGATGATGACCGTCCCTTGCCTAGAGCTGCCTGAGCGACAAAAGAGTCGCACAAGTTTACGAACCTGGCCCGGCCGTGGGTGAGGGCGACCCACGTGTAAAGCCGCACAAGGGCAGAGGACTCTAAAATGTTAATGTGGACACCACTCTTCCATTCCCAAACAAGCAGGGGGCTCCATTTAAGGCTAAGAGCTAAGTCGGTGGGCACCATGCGTTCGAGGCCCTCCGAGGCAATGTGCTGGCTGCGGTCCTCGCGGCTGATGCGGCAAAGGTTTTGCGAGAAGGCTTGAGCGACCTGGTAGGCAAAGAGCCAGGGATAGGTCGGACCTCTTTTTGCACGCCGGCCCCGAACCTGAGAGTGTTTTCGGCAGCACTCACAAGGCCTAGCGAGAGCATCGAGGCTTACCCGCAACCCGAACAGAACTGTGTCCCTCCGAAATGGCGAACCGAAAGAGCACAAAGAAAGCAAGGTCCTGTTGGCTCCAAGGGAGACAAGAGGCTTCCAGAGACGAAGCACAGAGGGCTTATCAGCAGCTGGGGCTGGCAAGGCCGCAACAATGCACACGCGGGAGCGCCTGGCTTTAAGCAAGATGGCCAGGCCTCGGCACAGTTCAACCCAATCCCTGGAAGGAAACTCACACCCCTCGAACTCACTCCCGAGAAACCCCAAGTGACTTGAGAATGAGGGCAGTGAAAGGAACATGGCCCGAACCCGATCGTTTTCAATCAGGAAGAAAACCCACTCAATGAGGCGCAAGTTTTTGGCATCATAGGCTGGTGACAGTCCTTTGTGAATGGGCGGGCCAACGGACCAGCCTCGAGCTGACATTTCGGCCGTAACCTCAGCTCTTGCTGAGAAAAGCTCGAGGAAATCGAAGACAAAAGCCAGCGGCTTCTTGACACTGTATGCTGCGGACTCAGTGCCAGGAACCTCCTCATGCATGGGGTCGACACGCTGGATGAGGCTGTGGGCCTTACGGATCATGCGCGCAAAGGCCCCCTTCCTGTCTGAAGCCTGCCACAGGTATTGGCTGGTGGATTCCGGTATCTCAGCAACGCACGCGGCACCCTTCTCCTCCGAAGCGTCGGTTGCAAACAGAAGAGGAAGGACTGGGGCCGCGACATCAGCCCCAAGTACAGGAGCGAGAGCAGACAGTAACACGAGCTCCTGTGCTACCGCCCTGGACAACGTGACAGTCTTGGGCTTGCTGGGGTCGGTGTTTGCGGCTGTGACCAATGAGAAAGCTTTGTCAAGGACACAAAAGGCAGGCCGTCTAAAGGACAGAACAGAGGACCAGGCACCGAGGAGACACAAATGGAGGGCATCGCTAGTGGCAGGCAAAACAGCAGCTTCCAAGGTGAGGTCGGCTAATGCGAAGCGTTTTCCAGCGGGAGCGGCGACAGTGCAGAGGCCTCGGTCGAGGGTGGAAGGAGCACTGTTCAGTTCTGCCCCTCCAATCTTAGCAACGGTCTCGTTCACACTGTCCTTCTCAGGAGAGCCAAGAATGGCGTGAGCATGGTAGGTCGCCAATGCTCGGTCCAAGACCTCGCGGCAAGGAGAGGCCGAGGAGGGGGAAAGCGAGTTCCCTATCGCGCGGGGCACTTTAGCGATGCAGAAAAAATCGTCTATTATGAGCCCATCGTGCAGCAACGATTCACGAAGAGGCTTTCCGCCCTGGATTCTTGTAGTCGAGGACAGGTGCCCAGCGCTCTGAAGGAGAGAGAGGTGGGAACTTGTTGCAAATTCCACGCCTAAATGATCACCTTGCAAGACCGACATAAAGCATGCTTGAAAGGAAGAGGGCACTTTCTGGCCCTGGTGCTGCTCCAAAAAAGTGGCAAAAGCCCGCATCTCCTTGACACTTTCAACAGGCAGAGGAGGGTACAGCCGATTGGTAATAGCCCGCGGATGCCCAACCGACAACTGGTGGTAGAAATCACGCCTGTCAGTGACTCCCATCGCCAGGGAAGTAGTTCGAGGATCAATGCTGATGCTGGTGAGGCTCTCCCCACAAGGAAGGGACCCTGACGGGCCGTGAATCCTCCCCTCCACGGAGTTCCTCCCTCTCCTGTCTCCAATCTGGCGGTCGAGCGCTGAGCTTTTGCGTGCATTGAAAATTCGAGTGTACTCGAAGCTGTCCAAAGACAAGTCTGCTGGCACAAGAAGCAGAAGTCCCAGGCTATCCCACAAATGAGCCAATTTGAGGGTCTGGCCAGGGTTCTCCAAAGAGCAGTCTGCGAACTCCTCCGCAGCAGGAGTCCTTGAAACCAGCAGGCTTTGCGGTTCGGCATACGCCATCCAAAGCTCGTCGGTGAGCCAAGGCTCAGGATTCCACTGAGCAGCGCCGACCAAGCGAAGGCGATCGACATCCAAGGCCCTGTACGGATGGAGAGCCTCATCAGCGGTGTCAGGGGGAACATCCTCGCCCGACGGAACGTGGCGGTAGGAGTCCCCAACGGCTCCCAAACGGGTGAGGAGCTCGGAGAGCTCGCAAAGCCGGGCATGCACAACATTCATTCGGCGGCCGGTGGAGGAAGGCACCACACCTTCCTGACCACTACCGTAGGTTCTCACAAATGCTTCGAGGTAGTCCAGACATCGGCGTTGGGGGCCGTTAGGCTGGCACTGCAAAAGCCTGAGAGGCACGAAAGCACAATCCTGGTGCACAAAGTTGAGTGCCATGACCAAGATATGCAAGACTCGCCTGACGCCAATAGTGGCCCTCCGTCGAGAGGACAAGCCCGGACGGGATCGGAAGATGGCCGGATAAGGCAGAGGCAGAGGGAAGAGAACCGAAGCCGGGGGCGCTGGCCCGCGCCGGCCAAGATGCAAAGAACACTTAACAAACTTGCCGAAGGTCGTGCGCGAGTTAATAAATTTCAAATGGGCACACAGGGACCAAGCTCGAAAGGACAAATGCTGTTCGGAGCGATCGGCCGAAGGATTGGCAGGAGGGCCGCTAGGGCCGGAAGAGCCTGCTGGCTTGCATGAATTATCCGAGTGGGCCTGAGCTGTGAGAGGCGCACGCGCCTCTTTCGAGCGTCCACCTCTGCAGGGGGAAGCTTTATCGTGAATAGACCTTGGTTGTCTTCCCCTATATGATCCCGGCCCATCTTCGTGAGCCGAGCGGCAAGGGGTGATACGCGAGGGAGGTGCGAGGGGCCCATCACGACGAAAGGACGCAAAGTTAGAAAAGTCAGTTATTGCTGGTCCTTGGGCTTCCTTGGGAATCTTGGCCTTCTTTTGGGAGCAGCCTGGGATTCGGACTCGCCTTGTCTTGGCAGGGCACGTGAGGGGTTGGCCGCATCCCGGCGACGCTGCGCAAGTAGATCGATCTCGCGAACACTAGCGGACTGAAGGCTCTCATCCTGCCAGCAGCGCTCGCTGGCCTGGGAGCAAACACGTTCGGCGACGGGTCCTCCCCCAAGCTCAACAGGAAAGCCAGGTCCCAGCGCCCCGCGTCGCTGGCTGCTTGCTCGGTAGCAGCCAACGCCAACGCCGTGTGCTCGCGGGCGGCACGGTTGTCCCCTCTTAGGAATGCATCTGCAATGCCGGCCAACATCATCATCATGAGCCCTAGATCCCGAGACCGGTCGTAGCCGCCTGTCCTCTCCAGATAACTCACAAAAGACACTCGGCCCGAGGCCTGTGCCTCCTCCACAGAGGCCGGGAGGGGCAGCGCAGGATAGAGGCGGCGGTGTGCAGATTGAACGACCTGAAGGAAGAAAGTGGAGCTGCCTGCTGCCAGCTCCTGCTGCAACTTCTCCCTCTTGGCCGTTCCCTTTGCAGACAAGCTGGTCGAATTGCCAGAGAGATCCAAGGTCTCGCTCTGAGCAATAAGGTGGGCCACCAGTTGACCCAAAGCCTCCCCTTGTTGAGTAACAGCTTTTGCGAGGGAGGAGCCGTCTGAGGAAGATCCTGCGGGGGCCTGGGAGGCAAAAGGTACCTGCGCCTGAACATGCACTTGCCGTGGAGCTGGAAGCTGTTTTGCCATCTGTTGCAGGGGCATCGCTGGGGGAGCCGCCGCGATAGTCGGAAACTCCTGCTGCAGCCCTGCAGGGGGCAGAGGAGCCGGACTGACTGGGAGCGCCGTCGCCGCGGCTTGCTTTTCCGCAACCAACCTGATTTGGTCTGCAAGGCTTGGAATGACGGCAGCTATTGCGGCCACCTGTTCTGACAACTGGCTCATGGTGATCCTTTTCTTGGGCGGCGGCCTTTTTGGCGAAGCAGTTAGAGGCGCGGCGGTCTCCTCCTGCGCAGAGTAGAATGCAAGGCGGTCTGAGGCCTCCTCTTCGACCCAGGCCTTTGCGGCAGCTATCAGCAGCTCTGGCTGGGGCATGATGTGAGGAGCGTCGGGCAGGAAGCTTTCGAAAACCAGATCGGTCACCGGATCGTAAAGACTCATAGAAGCTAGGACTGCCTCGTCCATGTCCACCACCAGAACATCCACGTCCACACCTGCTGGTACCTCGCCCGCTTCTTCGTCTTCTATTCCAGGCACCGTCAGAACGACAAAAGGTCCCACCACATCCGAAGGAAGAGTTGCAGCAGCGTTCTCCTGAGCCGATGCAAGAAGGGCCGCCGGGACGGCAGCGAGAAAGCCGCCACTCCTCTGCATCACGGGAAGGCACAAGACCTGGCGCCCTGGTTCCGAAGCTGAGCCCAAGGGCCACCTCAAGATGCAAGACAATCCTAGGCTGTTGGGCTCCATCCGCAAGTCGGAGAGCTGCATTGTTAGCGAAGGCTGGGCAAGGGGCGCTGGGCTCCGTAGCAATACACCTTTGCTTCTGCCAACGAGGGGAATGAGTGAAAGACAGCGCGGGATGCAGAGATATCCCCGACAACCGCTCGCAAGGCGGAAAAGCTGGAAAACCTAGCACCGTTAGGCAAGTTAGGATGCCAAAGAACCACGTAGACCGAAGGCCTAAGGTTGAGCGCTTCGCTCGACAGCGGCGTTGCCCAATGTCCCTCGAGGACCTCACGGGCCCAGCAGCCTGCTCTCCAGGCGCGTCGGGCTCGACCTTCCGGGCACAAGCTCGACGCGGACAAGGCACGACACAAGTCAATGCAGTATTGAGGGCAACTAGGAAAGCTGGCAGCAGTGGAGGCACGGGTCCTTGGTGAAGGGCTGGCCAAAGTTTGCGAAATGAAGCCGTCCTGAACGGCCGAAGCAGGGGCAGCCGGAGCTGCAGCAAGGGGTACCTACGATGGAACTGCCTCAACCACCTCCCAATTATCACCTAGACGCGATGTAGCAATGCGAAGCCGTTCAAGGGCTTCCTGGACCTCAGTAATGGCCTGGTCCAAATCAGGGCCTTGGCTCATGCAAGTACCCACGCAACCTCAGTGCACCTGGCCTAGGAACCTGTTGCGGAGGTGGCGTAGCACGCGAGGCCGTGGCAGGCCGCGGGGAGGCCGGAGCCAGCACAAAAGTCCAGAAGAAGGCGAAAGTGGCCACACAACCAAACCCAAACCCCGAAGTGAAAAGTGCGAGGTTGAAGGTAAAGGAGGCCTGACAATGAGCCGGACAGGAGAGACCGAACCAATAGGAGTTGGACCCAAAGTTCAACAAGGACAAGACGTGAGGGAGGGCCTCGACAACGGACCACATCAGAAGCTTGAGCAGCAGTGCACGTTTCGGCTCATCACTATAGTCAGGAGTAACCGATGGAAACTTGCCAAGAGCCTTCCTCCAAGGCCATTTTGTCTCGATGTCATCCACAGCCGACGCAAGCAATGAAGCGGTGAGGAAGACCTGGATCTTGAGGGTTGGTCACCCAAGGTGTTCGCGTGTTGGGCACTCAATCATTTGGTGCATTGATCATGGATCCAAAATACCAAAGACACACAAACTACGGGAACATGAGTAGAAGGTCTTATATGTTCAACTGACATGAAGACTTGCGGCAAGCTGCGTTTCTTTCAACCACACAGCGGCTGCGAAGAGTCAGTTCGGTGCAGAGCAAGTCTTCATTCTGATGAGGAAAGTCTCCATGGGCACTCTCCAAGTAGTCACTGGCATCCTCCTCGAAAAAATGTATTTCAACAATGTCTCCGATCTCCGGCACCCGGCTCTTCTTCAGCCAAAAACGTCCCTTTTCATCCCCCAACAACCGAAATCTGTCTTCCGGGATGGGTCTGACCAGGCGCCCCGGGCGATAGGCTGGTGACGCGGACTTGGCGACCATGGCGACAAAGCAGTAGAGAGGCATGCCCGGATGATCTGTCCGAGCCACCACGTTGGCAACCAAGTTCTGAGGCTTGCCAGCCCTCACTCGCGGAGGCCGAACGGGAAGGTCCACAGGTCCTAAGATGTCACCACCTTCGGCCGCGAACTTTGACAAGGACAGCACAGCTTCTTCCATGTCATAGGCAGCCGCCATAAGATGTGTGCTGAGCACTTCATCATCAAACATGGGAAAGTTGTGTTGAAGTCGAGCAACGGGCTCGGAGACATCCTCCCCCCCGAATGCAATGGCGTTGAAGTCATGAGTTTGGGTCTCTTCATCAGAAGCTTCCACCACATTCGCATCAGCCTGCGACGCGGCTTTCTCAGGTCGTTTTCCCTTCCTGGCTTTTGGTTTCTTTTTCTTCGACTGTAGGTTTCCAGCCTCCACTTTTTTCTTCATAGCTCGATTCTCTCGTTCTTCTTCAGCAATGAGTTGGTCTGCTATCTTGCGACTCTGTTTCTCCATTCTCTGAAGCTCTTGCTTCTGCCTTGCTTCCTCTTGAGGAGACAAAGGTCGAAACAGCTTTGATGCTTGCACCTCTACAGCGACCGCGCTCGCGCAAAAGCAGGCAAAAACTGCATCGAAGCCACTCAAGTTCTCTTGCTGCAGAGCAGATGCCAAGCGGCCGTCATCTGCTGGAAGGTTTTGCAAGATTGTGCAGATCTCAACAAAATCCTTGACGGTGTATGAATCAAATTCACCATTCAAACGCAGAGGCTTTGTGAGGGGCTGTCTAGAGGTAGCCACGGCCGCAGTACAGGCCCCTGGAATCGTGGCCAACAAATCCTGGGCCTTCACTTGCAGATCAACCAGACATTCTCCTTGCGAACAACCGGCTGCAGGGTTCCACACCAATCCTTCCTTCTTAGTTGCCACTGCTTCGTGCCACCGAGATGGCGCGCTGTCATGCATAGTTCCACACGCCAACGCAATGCCTCCTCGTAAAAGCTTGATCTCCATCCACGAGGCGGCGGAGGCCAAAATCCAACGACCCTTTGCACCTTCAAAGGACATGAAAAACGAGGAGCATCTTGACCAATACGTGGAGCGACCGCAGAGCGAAAACGCCCATTCTCGATTCTCCACATACTCTTGATTCAGCATTTGGTTCCAAAAGCCACTCAGTGTAAAAACACGGAGCCGTTCTGTCTCTACACCATCCTTGTCACCGATGATGACTCGATCTTGGTGCGAAGGCAGCACGGCACGACTCAGAATGGGAGCAAAAGCTGATGGTTCCAGCTGCGGGCACTTTGACGCCAGAGGGGAAGGAACATCTTCGCTGGACCTTCAAGGGAATCTACGGAAGCTACAGCGAAGCAACACGCTACACTACGTTATAGGCCAAGCAAACAGAATTTGATCCAACGGAACCCGCCAAACGATTCGAGAAAATGAAGGTGGCCCTGATTCAAAGCATCAAAGTTTGCACATCCGAATTTCTGAGTCTTCCTTGGGCAGTGCAGCCCACGTCGACCGCGATGCTACGAAGCAAGCATATACTGTGACATCAAAGCAGACATACTTACTGCTAAAACACACCTACAGTAAGAAATCTGGAAATAAGTTAGGCATCTTGGCGGTGCCGCCTTGTCATCTCCTGCCTTTGGGCACTGTCTTGCACCATCGGCGTGGGCAATTCGGCTTGTCGAGAAGCTTCCACGTTGTTCTCTTGGGCTCTCTGACGTGACTCTGCTGCCTGCGTTTCTTCGGCAGCCTAGTAGCAGCGGACCAGAAACAGTGCATCAAACCAGCGCAATCCTCCCAAGCCCTCGTTCTGCAGATCCGCGGCCAAGCGGCCATCATCTGCTGGAAGGTTGTCCAAGATTGTGCAGATTTCCAGAACATAGTCGTATGTTTCAAACTCACTGGAGTAGATGCGTCTAGATCAGGCACGCGCTTCAACAGCGCTTGGAATAGTTGCCAGCAACGCCTGCGCCTTCGCATGCAAAGCTACCAGAACTTTCGTAATCTCCGAGCATACGGAAAGGTTCCGCTCAAATACGGGGTCTTTCCGCTGAAACCTTGTATTGGTGTCAAACCACTGCAACCAGGAGTCACCCTGGACTGCCTTTTTCCATTCGATGTACAATGCACGATCAAGAACGTCAAGGTCTAAGTCAACCGCAGTTGCAAGTGGCAGGGGCCTTTGTCCAAGTCAAGTTTGGTTTCAATCCAATGCGTAGAGAAGGCCAAAGCCCAAACATTGCTTGCACCGTCGAAGTACATGAAAAACGGAGCACCTTGACCAAAATGTGGGGCGACCAGAAACTGAAAATGCCCGCTCTTGGTTTTCCATATACTCCCCATTCAGCATCTGGTTCCGAAAGCCACTCAATGTCAGGACACGGAGCCATTTCATCTCCACACCATTGTGGTGGCCCAGAATAACTCGATCTTGGTACGAGGGCAGCATGGCGCGATTTAAAATGGGAGCAAAAGCTAAGAGTCCCGGAACCTCTTCGCGCGACAACAGCGCGCCCATGGCCGGAAGCGACGGTTTCCGGGCTTGGAGGCCGTTCGCTGCTATTCTGGGATGTTCCCCCGTGTACGAATAGTCCTTAATGTATAGTTCCCCCAATAGTAATCCCCATAGGATGGTAGCAGAAGAGATGCATCCAGCTCGGCTTCATGTTCTTTGAACCTTGGGTCAGCACCCATCACAAAAAAGAAGAATTAAGTGGGCATCCTCGGTACATGTGAACCAAATGCCAGAAGCTACATTCAGCAGCCCAAGTTCCATAAGACAGTTCCACTGCAACTTCCAACATCCAAGAAACAGCCACAAACTGACCAAGACTTCCAACCTTCATTGCCACAGCTGCAGGCGTCCCCAGGTGAGCAGCCCTAAACCCTAAACCCTAAACTCCAAACCCTAAACCCGTCCAAACCCTAGACCCCAAAAAATCCAGAATCATATAACGGGACATTATAATCACATCTTGGTAAGCACATCAACCCTTCTCCATCCATTTTTATGCCAGACCATCGCTCCAATTAGTGCGGCCCACTTAGGGGTCAGGTTGAAGTGCTCAGAAAGCGATTGTGCTAATGCACGTTCTCCTACGCAAGAGATGGCACGGAGATTGTAGTTACTGATTTTTTCCGGTTTCCTTCTGCTTACGCGGGGTTGTGTAGCAGCATCCAATCGCACAGTGACCTTAATTAGGGTCCAAGCAAGCAGCAGCTCCTTTTCTCCCAAACAATCAATAATCCCTAATACCATCGGGGTTACCACAGGCAACGCTTTGGTGATTGGATTCTTTCGATCCTTTCAGAAGAAGTGAATGCGGCAATCGAGACATTCAAAGCCGCAATATACAACGGCAATGGCCAACAGCGTCCTTAACGCTTCAAGAGTGGCACGAAATCCAACTGCTGCCAAAAAATTCCCTGAAGACCCAGGGACCAGCAGAATTGCCAGGACGAAGCCCAAGTTCCGGGGAAGTCGGGCGACTCCGCTTTCAGGGCCGCAAAACACAAGCAATTCTGGCTTTGCGAGGACGGGCCTCCACAATAGGCCGTTCTTGGGTCTTAACACTTTGAAACAGAGAAGGTGCGAAAACCAAAGCAAACACACACCAAAAACCACCACCAGAAAGGTGATTTTCCCGAATCAATCGTCCACAACATACTCTCAACCCCACCTTCTTTGCCACAGTTGCAGCTTTGAAGTTCCAAGCCTTGGCGAACCTCAAACCATTTGTGGCCAACCGAAACATGCTTTAGGAACTTTGGGCAAAACAAACATGCTTATGCTTCTCTCTGTAACCGTCAAGACAACATGGCACTAACTGGGCAAACACAATAAGGTAAGTTTTTTGTCTCCACGTAGCCACTTAAAGGGGGCTGTAAGTCAAATGATTGTGTGGACGTTTCTGAGCTCTCAACTGCAACTCTTAGCACGCAAGGTGCTTGTCTGAACCCGCAATGGAAGGACATCTACTTTGAGAGCAACGGATAACGGGCAGCTTAGCTGGTGTGGCTTGGACAGCAGTTTGAAAGGCATCATTTCAGGGCTTTCTGAAGATGTCTAAGGCATCAGTTTAAGAGATTCCCACTAGCCAGTTGAGCTGCAGGTCTTTGTTGGTGTTTTCTGTGGATAGAAGGCGCCCTTCAAGCTTGGAAAGTTGACCAACGTGGCTCAACGTTTTCTGCTGTTGCGCAGAGTCGTCTGCTGGACATTGCAGAATGAAAGCTTTTGGCAGGCTTGGGCGTTGAACAGCGAGGATACCTACTGTACAGAGGAACGGCTTGTGCTCCTAGCGAATCAGCTGTTGTCGAGCACCCTCATTGGGGTTCTAACAATGGTCAGGTTGTGGGGCTGGTGAACGGATGCCACAAGTGCATTCGCGCATGCTTGGGCATATTTTGGCGCTGTCTCCAATCTCAGTTTTTGCGGCAGTTAACGCGCCGTTGATGGGTCAGACCTGTCTATACAGCATTTTGAATTTAGCACCATCGACCCTGGTCTTTGCCAGAGCCAAACAGACGTATGTTTTGGAGCAGCAAGTGCTTGCGTGTGAGAGAGTGACAGAGTGTCTGTGAGTGTGTGAGGATGAGAGTGAGAGCAAGAGCGAGAGCGAGAGTGAGAGTAAGAGTGAGAGTGAGAGTGAAAGTGAGAGTGAAAGTGAGAGTGAGAGTGAAAGTGAGAGTGAAAGGAAGCGAGGACGACGGAGTGAGAGAAAGTGATGCAGTGACGGGCAGCGGAGGAGTGGTGAAGCCATGGGGCCCCACGTGATTTCTATGTCTGCCAACTTTTCTTCGGCGTCGCGTTTTGAACAGTGCATAGGTCGTCTTTGAACACTTGTAACAATGTTCAGTTTAGAAGATAAGCGACTTGGGAAAAAACCTGGATTAAAATTCTGGTCGGTCTTCGGATCTGGCCTCATTACCCTACGTCTGCTGTGCGTGGGGACCCTTTCAATAGTATTATAGGGTCCCGAGTCCCTATGGCCACAAATGCATTTTTCCAGGGAAAAATACGCCGTGAGGCCACAACAAGGCCACAACAGGCCACAAACGTGTGTTTTTGAGGCCACATCAGGCCACAACAGGCCACAAACGTGTGTTTTTGAGGCCACGTCAGGCCACAACAAGGCTTGGGTCACCAGCCTGACATGATGGCCCATCGGGGGATAGCCTTTCCCTCGGCGTGGCTGGGGGTCTTCGTGGCGTGGTTGCGGGTTTTCGTTTGCAGAGGCATTGGCGGCAGCCTTTAAAAACATAAAAAGAGATCAACTCTCCTCGAGCTTCTGCATGCGCTGCCCGCCCATGGGCGCAGCCCCTTAAATAAACAAATAAATCAAAAAAAAAAAATATATATATATATATATATATATCTCTGTATATATCCGCCGACCCCAGCGGGAGTGGGGGCGGCGTCCGTGAAGACCCACTGCTCCTGAGTACCTCCTCCTCGCTGCCCTTGCTGCCCTCCCCGCTGCCCCCTAGTTCTGGAGTGTTTTCAGGGCTCCAGTCCATGCCCGCTGCCCTCTAGTACTGGAGTGTTTTAAGGGCTCAGTGCATGCCCGAGCCGCCTACTCGCTGCCCTTGCTGCCCCCGCCCTTCCCGCTCCCCCGCCCTCCCCGCTGCCCCCTAGTTCTGGAGTGATTTCAGGGCTCCAGTCCATGCCCGCTGCCCTCTAGTACTGGAGTGTTTTAAGGGCTCAGTGCATGCCCGAGCCGCCTACTCGCTGCCCTTGCTGCCTCCGCCCTTCCCGCTCCCCCCGCCCTCCCCGCTGCCCCCTAGTTCTGGAGTGTTTTCAGGGCTCCAGTCCATGCCCGCTGCCCTCTAGTAATGGAGTGTTTTAAGGGCTCAGTGCATGCCCCAGCCGCCTACTCTGCCCTTCTGCCCCCGCCCTTCCCGCTCCCCCCGCCCTCCCCGCTGCCCCCTAGTTCTGGAGTGTTTTCAGGGCTCCAGTCCATGCCCGCTGCCCTCTAGGAATGGAGTGTTTTAAGGGCTCATGCCCGAGCATCCTCCTCGCTGCCCTTGCTGCCCCCGCCCTCCCCACCCTTCCTGCCCTTCGCGCTTGGAGCTTGGGGCTTGGGGCTCGGGGCTTGGGGCTTCGAAGCCTGAAGGTCTGCAGCCCTCTAACCTTAACC